GTATAGTACACTTATGGTGTTTTAAAACAATGATGAACAGCAAATATAACATCCCGTCCTCTCAGGCGTTCACAGCGCCAGAGAACTAATCTACAAAATTTCCCGAACCTAACCTAACCGGGGACCTACTAATAGAAATCGGGACATTATGTCAATTTTGTGAACGTTATGAATTTTTAGTACATATGTTTTTCGCCTTAGGGGATTTATACGTCAAAATGCTAGGTACTCTTCCAGCGGACGACTTGATATCATGACAGTATGGAACCTGGGGATGGATTAGGAGCCGAGCGGACAGCACACTGGACTTGTGATCCTGTGGTCCCGGGTTCAATCCCGGGCGCCGGCGAGAAACAATGGCAGAGTTTATTTCACCCTATGCCCCTGCTACCTAGCAGTAAAATAGGTACCTGGGTGTTAGTAAGCTGTCACGGGCTGCTTCCTGGGGGAGGAGGTATGGTCGAGGACCGGGCCGCGGGGACACTAAAAAAAGCCCCTATAAATTACTTTTTGGGCATAATCATGTTTATTATGTAATACAAGTTACATATTTAAATTTTATTTGAACATTTAAACAAACTGGAGATAACTAAAAAAATACCTAAGTATAAACGCTGACAGACTGCATAATTTAATTAATTTATGAGGGCACTTCAACTTATACTGACAGCGCCTCCCGCTGTATGACATTCTTTCTGCAGTCCCCGTGGCGAAGTGGTAAAGCACTCGCCCTGCGCTTTGGCCTGGGTTCGTATCCTGACCGGGGAGGATTGACTGGGCGCCAATCCTTAACTGTAGCCTCTGTTCACCCAGCAGTGAATGGGCTGGTTGTTAAACGATTTGGCGGGTCGTATTCCGGGGACAAATTAAGATTAAGAACCTGCCCGAAACGCCATGCGTGCTATAGTGGCTGTACAAGAATGTAAGAACTCTGTTTATATATAAATAAAATAACAAAAGTGGTTCAACACCACCATATGTCATATATATTCCTGGATGACATTGTGGGTCAAGTCAATTGTCCCTCTCTAACCTATGGTTTAATTATTACGTATATACCACTATATAGCTGTATTTTATAGCCTATTGGTGGTACCATTATGTTAATGGTTCTCACAAATGATAAGTATATATAGAGAGAGAGAGATAAATGTAGGTTCAGAAATATACAAGGTCAAAATTTACAAAGACAAGGGTCGGAATTCAGCGTGCGTGTGAGGGCGCAAGTGTTCCACTTGGCTACAATGGTCTGCCTCATTTATGTTTGCGCATTTTTTTAAAGCTTTCCTCGTATACAGACGGCGGCTTTTTATGAACAAGTCCACAAGGGCCGTGACGAGGATTCGAACCTACGTCCGAGAGCATCCCAGACGCTTTTTTAAGTTGAAAAGTTGCACTTATGGTGGTTTGTTGTGATATTTTAATATATGTAATTTTCGTTGGATAATACTTCTACTTTCGGTCAGTCAATGTTAAGTACTTTGTCATTAGTTCTGGCCATGAATTGGATGGGTGACCAATTAGGTGAATAAACCAATTAATTAGCTTGGAATTCTGTCTTCGAGGACTCGGCAATATATCATAAATCCATCCAATTATTCTTAAGGACTTTTTTTCCCAGATAAATTTTGAATTTGGAAAAAAATTCTTGGCATATATAGCTTCGGCAGGTAGCTATATATAAGCTACCTGCCGAAGCTATAGATATAAGCCATTCTATAGAATTAAATTGTTACCCACTCCTGTGAATAAATTATTATTATTATTATTATTATTATTATTATTATTATTATATTATTATTAATATTATTAATAATAATAATAATATTATTATTATTATTACCCTGTGGGTGTATAAACATGTTGTCTGCCCTATATTTTCTATGAAAGAGAGAGAGAGAGAGAGAGAGAGAGAGAGAGAGAGAGAGAGAGAGAGAGAGAGAGAGAGAGAGAGAGAGAGAGAGTCCAAGATATGTTAGATATTAAGTCACTGCACATTCTCTCTTGTGTCTTATACATATATAAAACACTGAACTGTAATGCCAATCCTGACCTCAAAAGCTTCATTGAAGGTTGTAACAGAACCCATGAGCACCACACCAGGAATAAATACAGTTTTGATATTCCTAGAGTACGACTTAATCAAACTAGAAATGCTCTACAAATCAAGGGACCCAGAATGTGGAATGACCTTCCCAACCATGTTAAAGACTGTACCTCTCTCAACCAGTTTAAGATAAAAACTAAACACTACCTAATAAATTCCCTGTAACCCACCTCACTCCTTTATTGTCAACCCATGTCTGTTATTTTATTTTATTATTATTATTTTTTTTTTTAATCAACACTGTTTGTCAACCTATTGTATTTGTGCTGCTTTTTCAGTCATGTTCCCCCTTTTTTTATCTTTATTTGTATTTGTTTTCAACATTTTTTATTCTTTATGCTCAATTAGTAATAAGTTCTAGTTATTAATGTTTTTCTTGCCCGAAACGCATTGCGTAATAGTGGCTTTAGGCATTGTATGTACTAGCTCTATCTATATATCAATCCATTAATGTAACATCACTTGTATGTATGTACCTTACCTGAATAAACATATTTATTTATTTATTTATTTATAGAGAGAGAGAGAGAGAGAGAGAGAGAGAGAGAGAGAGAGAGAGGGGGGGGGGGGGGGGTGAGCAGACCGGCCCGGAGGTTATAAAGGTATGGAGCCTCCAGAGAACCTCTCAGCCAATTCAGTAGCATTATCGTGGCCGCGTCAGATATAACTCCATCCACCTCTGGAACTATCTATCTATCCATTTAATTATCTATATATTTATCTCTTCATCAAACTCTCCATACATTTATCTATCCGTCCTTCTGTCTACCAATCTATCCATCCATCTATCTACTGTCTCTCTCATATATATATATATATATATATATATATATATATATATATATATATATATATATATATATATATATATATATCACAATTATATACATATATAATATTTAGATTTGTTTAATAGTTATAGCACAGTATTAAGATTTGTGTGACCCAGTGCCGACAGGATTATTAAAAGTAACAAATGTATAAAACTTGATTTTATAAATGTACATTAAAAAACATTATTATGTTATTCTAAAATAAATATATATAGTAGTGTTGATCAGTGGCACTGCCTCAAAAACAATACATGGCACCTCAGGTTAGAAACGTTTGCATCGATTTTTGACACTGTGGGGAGTAGTTTGATGGATGACAGAATACAACTGTGACAAGTGAAGGTGGAAGGTGCAGGTGTGGTGGGTGTAGAGACGGGAGGAGAGCCTACAGGTGTGGGGAGTGTAGAGACGGAAGGAGAGCCTACAGGTGTGGGGAGTGTAAAGGCGGGAGGAGAGCCTACAGGTGTGGGGAGTGTAGAGGCGGGAGGAGAGCCTACAGGTGTGGGGAGTGTAGAGGCGGGAGGAGAGCCTACAGGTGTGGGGGTTGTGTAGAGGCGGGAGAAGAGCCTACAGGTGTGGGATTGTGTAGAGGCGGGAGGAGAACCTACAGGTGTAGGGGTGTAGAGGCGGCTGGAGGAGCCTACAGGTGTAGGGTGCAGGGGTGTAGAGGCGGGAAGAGAGCCTACAGGTGTGGGGTGGGAGGTGTAGAGACGGGAAGAGAGCCTACAGGTGTGTGTGGAGAAGAGAGCCTACAGGTGTGGGGGTGAGTGAAGAGACGAGAGGTTAGCCTACAGGTATATGTGCGTGTAGAGGCGGGAGGAGAGAGTACAGGTGTGGGGGAGGTGTAGAGGCGGGAGGAGCGCCTACAGGTGTGGGGTGGGTGGGTGTAGAGGCGGGAGGAGAGCCTACAGGTGTGGGGTGGGTGGGTGTAGAGGCGGGAGGAGAGCCTACAGGTGTGGGGTGGGTGGGTGTAGAGCTGGGAGAAGAGCCTACATGTGTAGGGTGGGTGGGTGTAGAGGCGGGAGGAGAGCCTACATGTGTGGGGTGGGTGGGTGTAGAGGTGGGGGGAGAGCCTACAGGTGTGGGGTGGGTGGGTGTAGAGGCGGGAGGAGAGCCTACATGTGTGGAGTGGGTGGGTGTAGAGGTGGGGGGAGAGCCTACAGGTGTGGGGTGGGTGGGTGTAGAGGTGGGGAAGAGCCTACAGGTGTGGGGTGGGTGGGTGTAGAGGCGGGAGGAGAGCCTACAGGTGTGGGGTGGGTGGGTGTAGAGGTGGGGGGGGAGAGCCTACAGGTGTGGGGTGGGTGGGTGTAGAGCCTACAGATGTGGGTGGGTGGGTGTAGAGGCGGGAGGAGAGCCTACAGGTGTGGGTGGGTGTAGAGGCGTGAGGAGAGCCTACAGGTGTGGGGTGGGTGGGTGTAGAGGCGGGTGGAGAGCCTACAGGTGTGGGGTGGGTGGGAGTAGAGGCGGGAGGAGAGCCTACAGGTGTGGGGTGGGTGGGTGTAGAGGCGGGAGGAGAGCCTACAGGTGTGGGGTGGGTGGGTGTAGAGGCGGGAGGAGAGCCTACAGGTGTGGGGGTGGAGGTGTAGAAGTGGGAGGAGAACCTACAGGTGTGGGGTGGGTGGGTGTAGAGGCGGGAGGAGAGCCTACAGGTGTGGGGTGGGTGGGTGTAGAGGCGGGAGGAGAGCCTACAGGTGTGGGGGTGGAGGTGTAGAGGTGGGAGGAGAGCCTACAGGTGTGGGGTGGGTGGGTGTAGAGGCGGGAGGAGAGCCTACAGGTGTGGGGTGGGTGGGTGTAGAGGCGGGAGGAGAGCCTACAGGTGTGGGGTGGGTGGGTGTAGAGGCGGGAGGAGAGCCTACAGGTGTGGGGGTGGAGGTGTAGAGGTGGGAGGAGAGCCTACAGGTGTAGGGGTGGAGGTGTAGAGGCGGGAGGAGAGCCTACAGGTGTGGGGGTGGAGGTGTAGAGGCGGGAGGAGAGCCTATAGGTGTAGGGGTGGAGGTGTAGAGGCGGGAGGAGAGCCTACATGTGTGGGGTGGGTGGGTGTAGAGGCGGGAGGAGAGCCTACAGGTGTGTGGGCGGGCCATCAGTGAGGGCGGCCGGCCAGCGCCCTCTGCCTCAGCTGACTCTCACGTCAGTTGTTAATGGCGTCTGCTGCTGCTCTCTCCTCCAGGCCCGAAGGTGAGCCTGGCCGCCGGGTGTGTGGCTCCGAAGGCAAGTACTTAACCCCCTCGGTGGACCCCCCGGGTGGGAGGGGGTGTGGTGAGCAGTGACAGGTGTGTGGAAGATGAGTGTGTGCAGGTGTGACGGGCCGGTGTACGGGGGTTCAGTGACGGTGGCACCCACAGTGGGCGGCGGTGTGTGTGTGACAGTGACAGTACGGAGCAGTAACTACCCTGGGGCAGGTAACTAACTACCCTGGGGCAGGTAACTACCCTGGGGCAGGTAACACCTGAGGGGGGGGGGGAGGCAGGTGGTACGGTACACACATGCATGTGAATACCGACTCACCTGGCCCCCAGAAGGCCCGTGACCCCATACCGGTAGTTGTTAAAGCTGTGCCTCTGGCTTAGGTTAAGTACGCAGTGAATTAAAAGCAATTCGTGTTGTGTGTGTGTGTGTGTAAACTTTGTCTGACATAGTTAATGTGACGTAGTTTATGTTGGTGCTCTTAACTCTGTACAGAGTTGGTCAAGAGCTACATCCCCCATATGTCAGGAAATTGACAGTGGATACACTCGTTTATCCACTACTAGAACACATTGGATGGATTATGACGTTATCTTTTTAAGAACATAAGAATGGAGGAAGTAATTGCAACGCTGTAGGTTCCTCATACTTGTAAGTTGAACGACAGGATATTCAATAATGTGATGTTGAATCAAGAACATGACCTAATTCTGCTGACAGTTTACACCTGGAGTGCTCAGGCTTGGTAGATGTGTCATCTGCACATACCTGCCACAGGTGATGCTAGGCTAACCCGATCATGGTAATTACTGTGTTACAGATTACCATACTGTTCTGCCCATATGGCAGAAGGTTTTGCCCATAGCTTTCTGTCGATTCATTAGGGTGAGAACTCTTGTGTAAGATGGGTTCGTATCCTGGCCGGGGAGGATTTACTGGGCGTCAATCCTTAACTGTAGCCTGTTTACCCAACAGTAAAATGGGTACCTGGTTGTTAAACAATTTGGTGGGTCGTATTCCGGGGGACATAAGATTAAAAACTTGCCCAAAATGCTGCACGTGTTAGTGGCTGTACAAGAATGTAAGAACTCTTGTATATAAATAAATAAATAAAATAGAATAAGTGTCATATGGAATGTACAATATTTCCTCTTCAGTCTTATAAAGCATAGTAACTCAGAATTTTTTAAATATATTTTCTCCTGTTTTTGGACTTTCATAATTCAGTATTAGCATAGGCTTAGTTACTTAATGAGATTAGGGTAATGCATGGTTTTTATATACTCAGGTGGATATAATTAATTAATTATGAAAGACCTGAAACCTGTGTACATACAGTATATACCTTAGGCTTGTATCGAGACCCCCTAAGGTCGAATTACTGACCCTTTCCCAGGATGCAGCCCCACAACAGTTGTCTAGGCCAACTTCCTGGTCCCTTTTATTAGGTGTAAGGTGAAATATGAAATATGAGACATTAGGTGAAAAATATGTGCAACCATTTCTGTCCTGCCTAGGAACTGAACCTAGGATCCCTGATTGTGAATCGAGAGCAATGGAAACTGTAATTTTGACATTCAAAATATTATCAGTGATGAATAGGTACTATTAAAGAAAATGTCTGCCTGTCTGTCCTAAGTTGGAGGCCAGATGCTTGGGACTAACCTCACCCAACTTTGCAGGGGGAAGGGGGGGGGGAATGATCTGGGGTATAGGACAGACATAGGCTGTTTGGGGTTATATGGGGTTGGTGCTTCCTATCACCTAATGCACCTGTTCACCTAGAAGCAAATAAATACCTAAACGTTAGTCAGCTTGTTAAGGGAATGCATCCTGGGGTAGGTCAGTAAATTGACCTGGAGGGGGGGGGGGGTAACTCAATTTAAGCCATACATATATACACACTATATATGTATATATACACTGGCTGCCTGTCCCCCACCATAATGAATCATTTAACTACAATATTAAGTTAAGTACTTTAAAAAATATTGGTCTTTAACCCCCCTCTTCTTCCACCTTTGCAATTTTCATGGTCTAAAATGAAATCACAAATGTATTTTTTTCATATACAAGTCTTTACATAATTGTAAAGCCACTAGCATGCATAGTGTTTTGGGCAGGTCCTTAATATTAATTTTCCCCGGAATACAACCCGACAAATTTTTTAACAACCAGATACCCATTCGCTGCTGGGAGAACAGAGGCGTTCAATTAAGGATTGGCCCCCAGTCAATCCTCCCCGACCAGGATATGAACCCAGGCCAAATCGTTTCCAAAGCATGAGGCAAGTGTGTTACCACTGTGTCACGGGGACTGCAGTTTTCCATAGTGTTCCCCATTTTTTCATGATTTGCTGGAAAATGATGAACTGAATTCATTTGGGTTAGTGACAAAAATTGTAGGGAAGATGGTTACAGTGATGGAGGGACAGGTAAGATGAGGGGAGTGGGGGGACAAAGAGATGATGAGGGAAGAGAAGTGGAAGAAGTAAAATGTGGGGATAAGAGGAAGGGGATAGAGGGGTGGGAAGGAGAAAGGAGAGGAGGGGGTCGTGGTAAGAAGGTGGGAGAGAGGGACAGGGGGAAGAGGGAGTGAAAGGGGGGGGAAGAGGAGGGGTGAAATGGGGAGAGTGGAGTAGGAGAGGGGAGGTGGGGAAGAGGCAGACTGACCTGGACAGTCTACCTCTAATATGTCTATGAGTTGCCCTCTATACATACTGTAGATATAAAAGGAATTGTGAGTGTGTGTTTGAGGATAGAGGTCAGACAGGGAAGAAGAAAGGGAGGAAAAGAGAATAGGGAGGGAGGAGGAAGGGGGATAAGATGGATAATTGGGGAGACGGGAAGGAAAATTGAAGAGGGGGGCATTTATACCTTACAACATCAATTCCTTATTTTTTTATACTACTACTTTAAGTAGGATTAAAAATATATAAGATGATATAAGTAAAAGGTTTGCTGTCAGTTTGTAGTGGTCTGCATACAGTAATTGCTAATAATTTAAAGCATATATACATTCTAGTCGATTGTGAACTTGCCAATACAGCAGAGGTCTCGCTTCTTGCAGGTCAGCAAGTCGGCAATCGATCCCAGATGGTCCAAGTCACTGGGGCCCTATTCCTTCCCCCTGTCATATCCTAGAACGTTGTCCTCATATTCCTTCCAAGTGCTGTATAATCATACTGGTCTTGCTCTTTTTTCCTCATAATTACCTTATCCCCTGTATTGTGTTCCTTGACTATTTCATATACAGTATAACTCAAGGAATGCCATGTAGATTGAAAGCTTACTAATAAAACCTTAGGAATGCTGATATTTGTCATTTTTTTTGTAAATATGTAAAACAACAAAAAGTATTTTATTTTTTATTTTTTTTTTTGCAGGCACCAATCAGTATGAAATGAGTGGGTTATCGAGGAAACGTAGTCATGCGGAGACACTGATGTCAACCGTAGATGAAAAGAAAGAGTATAACCTCTCATTATTTACACCACCACTGAAGAAACCAGTAAGTTACCCAAATTATATTTTATTACTGGCTGCCGAATCTGACAGTTTCAAGAACTTATTAAGTGTTAGTGTCCAGTAACTCGAATAATAGTTTGTTTGAACACTTCAAGATGCAGTTGGTTCTCAGAGCTTAAAAACTACTATTTCTGAGTCATCACATTTGGTCGCTCTCTAAAGCAAGAATCCACTGTCTCGGAGAGGATTCACAAAACGTCCAGCACTGATGCCTCGAGGATCTCTTCAAATGTCTCTGTAGGTTCATATAAAGTGCTAGAAAAGCACAGGAAAAACTTCAGTTCTCCTTATAATGGCAATCAGAGGTATTGTTGGTGATATTTTATTTGTGAGCTAGTTGTCATGTCAAAGACAAGGAGTACCTCGGTTTACGAATTTAATCTGTTCCTGGAGACGGTTTGTAACCCGAAAGTTCATAAACCGAAGTGACTTTCCCCATAAGAAATAATGGAAATGAATTGATCATTCTGGACTCCCCCCAAAAATTAACTTCAAAGTAAATTTTATACCCAATTCACCCAAATTTTCACCACAAAAGTATGTACTGGTTATTACTTACCTTTACTGATGACTCCTGTTGGCGTATGGAAGATGGTAAGGAGGGGGAGGGAGGAGGAGAGGTCTTAATGTTTTAAGGGGATTCCTCTTCCATTATAACATCAGGCAGTGAGGACTTCTGGGGTGCACTCTCTGGCGCGTTTTGCCTGCATACCACTTGGATCTGCTTCTGGCTCGCTGCATGATTGTCTCATTGTTTTTCTTGAAGATTGTCGATTGAGTCAGACTTCATACTGTATGAGCCATGCATAATCTATCTTACATTGAATGGCAGGAATTTCTATTGTATGTTGTTTTTGATGATATTTCATATGTAGATTATTAACCAATTAATTTAAAAAATACAGAAAATAATATTCGAGTACAGTATATAACAAAATTTGTGAGCCCCCATGGTCATATCAGATGGGTTAATATATTCGTGACTACAGTCTTATTCACTGTGGGCATTTAGTGAATCAGGTAACTCCCAAGATGCAACTTACAATGGTTTACTAGCTTCCAGGTACCTATTAACTGCTAGTTGAAAAGACATATTAATCAAAAGGAAATATGCCCAAACGTCTTATCTTGCACAGGAATTAAAACTAGAACCTTTTGGTTGTAAACCAACTGCACTGACCACCATTCTGCAAATTGTTGGCAAAAGACTGTAGAATGGTAATCAGTGAAGCATAATTGGCAGAAATGCATCAACATTCTTAGCAACACATTGTAAGATGCGTCCTACTGTGTGACCTCCTGGTATTCATGCACACACACAGTAACTTGGTTGGCTCTATCTGTTACCAGAAACAGCAAGGATGCAAGGTATTTTGTGTAGGTGCAAATGCCACACTCTTTCCTGGATGATTACTCATAAGTGTGCCATATTTCTCGAGCAGCTGATGAACCCAATCATGGGAAAACATGTAATATTGGCTCCTCTCTAGTGTTGAACCTATACATATTATAGGTATTTTACAGAACTAGTCTGCTTATTAACCTTGTCAATTGTTAATAAGCACATGTAAGTATTCCATTATAATCAAGAATTGTAACAGGTTTCTTCACCAGTGAGCCATCAGACTGTATGGTTGATTTTTCTAGAATAGGCAAGGTTTCCGTGTTAAAATAAGGGGAGTAATTTCACTTATCTTGCCAAATCATAATTGTATAAAAATTCTCCTGACATTAGCAATAGTTTTGCATCACAATTTAACTTTCCCATATATTTTGGCATTTCTTGTAACACACAGACAGTACCACTGAGGCTGAGTGGACAGCGCACTGGACATGTAATCCTGTGGCCCAGGGTTCAATTCCCGGCGCCGGCGAGAAACAATGGGCAAAGTTTCTTTCACCCTAATGCACCTGTTACCTAGCAGTAAATAGGTACCTGGAAGTTAAACAGCTGTTATGGGCTGCTTCCTGGGGGTGTCTGTGAGTGAAAAAAAAATTAGTTAGTAGTTAGTAACAGTCTTCATTGGGGCCTCATAGCCTGGTGGATAGCGCGCAGGACTCGTAATTCTGTAGCGCGGGTTCGATTCCCGCACGAGGCAGAAACAAATGGGCAAAGTTTCTTTCACCCTGAATGCCCCTGTTACCTAGCAGTAAATAGGTACCTGGGTGTTAGTCAGCTGTCACGGGCTGCTTCCTGGGGGTGGAGGCCTGGTCGAGGACCGGGCCGCGGGGACACTAAAGCCCCGAAATCATCTCAAGATAACCTCAAGATAACCTCAAGTTGAGAGGCAGGCCGAAAGAACAGAGCTCAACCCTCGTAAGCACACCTAGGTGAATACTTGATGCAATATAATGTTCCAACAAATGTACACTCGCAGAAGGACTTGTATGTCATTGTCTGTATAGAGAATATGTCCCTTCTCTAAGTAATGTCCAAAGCTGCTTCAAAACTGTGCCAAAAGAGCTGAGGGGGCCCATAAGCTAGATATCAACTAGTGTTCCTGTGTATAAAATTAAGTTAGAAAAATGCCAGTGTTGCAATTTGCACAAAATCAACAGTGTAACGTCAAACCTGGGATGTTTAGTCTTAATGCACTGTTTGAAAATTGTAAGTCCCTTGTACCATCTCGTACAAGGGACGAGATGTGTGCAGCTCGTGTGTGCTCATTTTTTTTTTAAATCATGATATACAGCCTAAATTTATCTTTATGAACAAGACCTGGTCTGATTTTCCATATTCTATAGGCCTTGTTTGGATTCAAATTTTGTCTGCAAAATGTAAGAATCTGAAAATCAAAAGAAACCTATCACATGATACATTTTCCAGATATAGACGTTTCAGTTAGTAGGTCTTTATATATATGAAGATCAATACGACATTTGCCTTCTTCCAGCAACTGGGCAATTCTCCCAACATAAGTCACTCTCACTTTAATAAGTCACTCCCAAGTGACTTATTAAAGATCATTGCCAGAGGCACGCTGAGGGCCTGCTCTGCTTCTTTTAGTATCCACGGTGATACTTTGTCTGGTCCAACTGCTTTAGTTGCATCCAGTGTTGTCAACTGTTTCATTACCTCCCCTGCTGTCACCTCTCTATCTGATAGTCTTTCATCTAGGGTAATCCCTTCTAACAATGGGAGCTGCTCAGGCTCGGTAGTGAACACTCCATGGAAACTGGCATTCCTTGCCTCGCAGATTTCCTTGTCACTTTCAGTATATGCCCCCCTCTGTTTTCCTTGGTCTTGTCACTTGGTCGTTCTCCGACATTTTTCTTCTTATATGGCTGTGTAGTAACTTAGGTTGCTTTTTCGCTTTGATCGCAATATCTCTCTCATAGTCCCTTTCCACTGTTAGTCTTATGGTAATGTAATCGTTCCTAGCTCTGTTGCATCTGATCCTGTTGTCCTCTGTCCTTTGTCTTCTGTACTTCCTTCACTCCCGCCTGCTGGCCATTTTTGCTTCTTGACACTGTCTATTAAACCATGGGTTATTATATTCCCTCTTATTTTTTTCCTTTTACTGTTGGTATAAATCTCTCGTCGGCCTCCTGGCATTTCTGTATGACTAGGTCTATCATATCTTGGACTGTTTTTCCTCTAATTTCTTCCTCCCACTGCACTTCTCCCAGATAGTCCCTTATCCTCCTATAGTCCCCTTTCCTGTAGTCAACTCTCCTTTCCCAGACCTCTTGTCCCATGGTCACAAGTTTGAATTCCATCATGTAGTCAAAGACTAGGACACAATGGTCACTGGCCCCTAGAGGTATTTCATGCTCCAAATTCTCGATGTCTTCTACGTTCTGGGTGAAAATCAGGTCTAATAGGCTCGGTGCATCTCCTCTTAACCT